CCCTAAGGAGAGAGGGCATCCGTCACGCTGCAAGACCCGGAGCAGCCCAGCACCCTGCCACGCGTGGGAAGCGAATGACCACAGGATCCTTCACTCAATACCCACATGTAGATTTTTTCAGGCTCCAATTTCCGATGGGGACCGTTCCCACCTCTTACCCAGCTAAGGGGAATAAGGCTGGCACCCCTGGGTGTTTGCAGAGGTCAGCTCCCCGCAGCACAGGGGCAGGGATGCAAACATAGCATCGGGGGGGTTGCATGCAAACATTTGCCCCTAGCTCGATTTCATGTGCAGCCACACAAATCAGGACCTTTTCTAATTAGACCCCAATGTGACAGCTTCAGCCACCCTTAGGCAGGTTGGGTTTGGAGAGCTTTAGGTTTGCTTGGAGACAGGCCCTTCCTTGGGCAACTCACACCCTACAGCAACTCGGTCACCTCCTGACAGCACGCAACCTTACCTGCAGAAGGATGCTCACCACATTGATCTGGAAGCACATGCAAACGGTCTTAAAAGAAACATGGTCCTAACACACACACACAGAGACGTGTGTATATAGGTATAATCATTTATGATGTGCATACAATATGATCATATATCATATTAGATATGATCAACCCTAACTTCAGCATTATCCTAGAACTAAAGACCAAGAAAAAAAACCTCAGGAGGTACACAATAGGTGTTTCATACCCCTCTTTTGAAATTATCAGGCACAGAGTATTTTTCTTCTGATCTTCTAGAACCAGGTAATTGAGACTTGAGATACATTGAAAAGACTTTTTGCTATTTCTTTTACTTTCCTCTTGGAAAAAACCTTATTCACCATGACTATGGAATTGTTACTTGCTTCATAATACAAACAGATGATAAGTTATTAAAAATGCCACTGAGGATATTAACCAATCGCCTTAAAATTCTTCGTGTGACCTCGTTCACGGTGTCCTACAAAGCAGCAGCAGTTGACTTGTGTAATCTTTTTCCATTTTCAGCGCTAAACTTCACCCACTACTGACATGAACCCTTCCGCAGTGCTGATACAGAAATAAACTCAATTACTGAAGCTAAACTAGGATAAATTCTTATCGGTTAAGGCCAGATGAGATACCCTGGCTACAGCTCACTAGATTCTATGATTCTGCTTCTCCCTGGGCGGTTTTCTTAGGGGTTCAAGCCATACTGCACGACCACTACTTGGGAGACCCCGTCCCACGGTAACCTGGTCAGAATTCAACCCTATTCGTGCCTTTCTTCCCAAGAGGCACCACTCTTTATCCAGCACAACTAACTTCTTGGCTGGTATTTTCATGCAGACAAGCACCGGTGCCTGTAAAACCACCGTCTGCAAAGCATGCATCTACAGCATGCAAAAGTTGTATAAAAATAGATGCAAAGATGCAAACGCAAACAACAAA